CCATAGCAGGGAGTTGAAATGAGATGGTCCCTTCCCACCCAAACTATTATTTCATTCTATGATTCAAACATTCTGAGTCACTTCTCTCTCAACATAAGCATCTTGGGGAAAAGGAGGTGCCAAGGCCTCTGTGTTAAACTAGAGAGCACGTCCCAAAACTGGCAGCCTACTCCAATACCTGCTGCTCCCACTGTCTTCCTTGGGATCCAGGGAAGGTCTGTGAGAGTGCATCCATGGGATCAGACCATCTGGGGAGGGCAGGACCTGCTTTGGCTCCCACCTTCCTGCAGCCAGGATGCAAGAAGGAGCATCTCGTGCTAGCAGTGCTGCGAGGCTGAATTATGGTATAAGCAGATTTTTATATGGTTTCAAGAAGTTTAGCTGTCATGAGGAAGTTCTTAGGCCCTTACTTTTTAAAAGCATCAGCTATACTTTTAGTGAATGAAAAGTTTCATGAGTTGGGCTCACTTCAGTCAGTAAAAAATGCTATTACCTTAAAATATTGCACTAGAGCATTAAAAAATTGAAAGTGTTCTTCATCCATGCTGTGGATGGGAGCACTGAGCATTCAATTCCACCTAAACAAAGCCAACCCTCCTTGCACTGGGATTAGCAAATATTTCCCTCTCCCACTCTGCTTCTGACATTCCCCAGTACAGTGCAAAAGGTGCAGTGATTTCTGCTTTTTGAGTCACAAGTTAATGACCCCCACATAACAGCTGCAGCTCCCACATGCACAGATGAACAGATCTCATACCAGTAGGTCCCAGCAAGCACAAGGTATCATATCCATGTTGGGAGTGAGGAACCTGCCAGCCTTCTAGAGATTAATTATGGTACATGGGAATAAACTGGGCAGCCCAAAAGGATGGATGGGAATAATCAAACACTGACAAAGCTGAAGCAGCAAGTGATGAGAAAAGCTCCCAAGTCTTTATCAGGGTATCACACAGCTATGGCAGGACTATTTCTAGAGTCAACTGGTGCTAACTGAAAGATGTGTCCATGAAGGAAGAGAGTACTGGAATTCCTGCTGCTGCCTTTCAGGCTGTAACCACCTTATATGGAAAGACCATATTTCTTAAGATTGTGCATCTGGCAAGAGCCCATAATGGTCATGTCAGTGAATCACTTCACTAATAGTTCCAAAATTATATACTGTTCATATGGAATCCACTCAGGTCATTCCCTGAGGAGCTCTTCCAGAGAGGCCCATGTGCCTCCCAAGTGGGACGAGGCAGTGGCAGCTCTGCCAGCCTTGGCCCCAGCAGTTGTGGAATGTGCTCTTATATACAGGTCAATGCCAAGTGCTGGTTAATGAAAATGAGACTAATCATTCCCTGTCCTGTGTGTTCTTGGAAACTCGTTCTCCAGCCTGCCCTGACACCGATACAGGCAGGCTCAGCATCCTTAGGGCAGTGCCCACATCTGCCTGCTGTGCACACTGCCCTTCCCAGCTCCCAGGCTCCACCATCCCAGCTTCCCTACGTGCTTCCAGCCGATTCATATCTTAAAGAACAATTAATTTGCCAGAGCAGCCTGAATTCTATTTTCATTGCCTTCCTCCTTCCCTGCAGCTGAGCTGTGACTTATTGACTGTGAAGTGACTGCAGGGTCTTTAAGAGTTCAAGGCACAGGGTGTTTTTCTGCCTGTTCCTGCCTGGCTGACTCCCTCTGTAATCATTCTCGCCAGCACCATTTCACGCCACAGAGGCATGTGACATCCAACTAAGCTGTGAACCATAATCATGCTGGGGATGATGTTTACATTTGATTTTTCCTCAAGCTGATAAGCTCTTTTCAATTTCCCCTCTCCATCGAGTTGGTATGAATTGAACTGCTTATGCCCCACAGGGTGGAATTCTTCTCTTATCTCTAATCTGCTCACTGAAAAAATTGCTTCCAGCAACCCTTCAAAAGTCACTTCAAAGTTATCACTGCTAAGAGGGAAGAGCTGCAATTCTGCTCCCAGGCTGTTGCAATCAACGCTCTCCAGTGCTTTTTGGAGACAGCCACACAGGTGCCACCAGCACACAGCACACCTGGCTCTCCCCTGGCTGGGGCTGGGACCTTCACTGTGCTCCTTCAGCCAGAGGTACAGCAAGACAGTTGTCCAACACAAGTGTGAATCCTTGTTAAATCATTTCAGTTCCCTAAAGCATTAGAATCCAACCTTGAAGGACACATTGGAGACTTCTGCTCCAGCTCTGGACAGTAAGTGATGGGCAGACTGAAGCCTGTGTAACAGGAGACCTGACCAATGGAATAAACCCAACTTCAAGTCAACTCTACTTTCCCATTAGACTGAGAATTCCCACTTTAGAAAGGAGATGGTGAAGGCCAGTTCTGCTGTGCAACACTTGGACAGTGCCAGTTCTTTTGTAGTAACAGCTCTCCAATAATCCAACCACCCTTGAACAAAAAGTTTCCAGACTCTGTGTCTCCAGACTGCACCTGGCAAGAGGAATAGTGATGCTTACCCAACCATCCCTGGGATCAGGGCACCCATCCTAAAGAAGCCCAGTACTCACCTGTCACCCCACAGCACCACACCTCTCCACACCACCTCAGCTCTTGCCCACAGCTCACCAGAACCCTGGAGCAGCCCCTCACACTCCCTGGAGTCCCTCCCCAGGGTGTGAGAGTACAGGTTCAGGGAGAAGGCACAGCAAGCATCTGCATCCATTAGATTTTGAAACTCCCTTTCAACTAGCTGGTCACAAGACTTTTTAAAACTTTGAAGCCAAGGTCTCAGGAATTAACAAATTGGGCCTATGTGTTCATGAATGAGCCCTACTGCTGGCAATAAGTGAGGTTTTCTCCCTCAAAGCATGAGATTTCCAAAAGTTCCCTTCAGAACACTTTGTACCTTAAGTCAACCTACTGCCAAGGCCTCCCTGACTTCCAGCCCTTCTCCAGGCAGTTTTACTCCTGTACCAGACTAACTGGTAATTTTTCTGTGATTTCTGAGGGCTTGGGCGAGGTCTTTGCTGGCCTGACCCACAGTCTGGATTAACCCTGCCATGTTGTTCAGGCAGAGCACAGCACCCAGATGCCTCCTCTCCAGCCAGGAACCAGGCAGCAGGTTTCAGCCACCCTGGTGAAATGCAGAGCAGTGAGCACAAGGGGAGCAGCACAAAGCACCCGTGTAGGTGGGTCATGGGCACTTCAACACCTCCACACAGCAGCACTGCATCAGCATTATGGGGATCTGCCCTCCAGTTCAGACCATGGAGCACAGGACAAGCCCAGACCCACAGCACAGCCTACCCTGAGTGGGTGCAGCTGTGCCTTCCCACAGCACAGCAAAGGCCACCTCCACCCCCAGGGTTTGCTCTTCCCTAGAAAAAACTCATTTGCTGTTGTGCACGTTGTCCCCAGCCCCCCAGGAGCTCCAGCTGCAAGAGCAGTTGAGGCCAAGTGACACAATTTGGACGCTACCCAAGTGAGGAGTAAGCAACTTGACTTGAGAAATCAAAGCACTGGTGAGATTACTGGCTGTGTTTCATCTTTTTTACTATCAGCGAAGAGGTAAGACAGCCTACAGGTTCATAAATTCAGATTTACTTGCTCATTAAAGAAGATAAATACACTCTCCCTGCTTAAACCTTTCCTGAGCAACAGTCTCCATAAACACTTTGCCTAGTCCTGAGCAACAACCCGCTGTCCTCCCCAAAAACCAGATATATGACACAGAAATCAGGACAAACGATATTTTAATGGTTCATTGGTGTCCCTCCCCATGCAGAAGGGTGGAACAAGATGGGCTTTAAGGTCCCTTCCAGACCAAACTGTTCTGTGACCGATCAGCAAGAGGTTCTCTCTCACTCCTTTGGCATCACCTGCCACCCCTGCCCATGCTGGAGAACACCCCCAAAAAGAGGTCGAAGGGTGTGTGGGAGCACAGCAAGCAGCATTGAGAAGGCAGGCTGCAGGCTGCCAGCCCCTGCATTTCTTTGCAGCACCGAGGAACCACAGCAGGACGGGTGGGGACAGCTTCCCCCAGCCCAAACCTTGGCACCTTACCCAAAGTTACACACTACACCCACAGCCCCAGCAGGGCAGATGACACCTGCGAAAGGAGCACGGCTTCCACTGTAATTAGCTGGTTCTCAGAAGATCTAATGATGCTCATTTAAAGGCCTGACGACACGGAGATCGCTGTCATCGCTCAGCCAAACCCTCTGAGCACCCCGGACTCCGGCAGGCGCCCGGAGCTCTGCGTCGGGCCTGCGCAGGAACGTGTCAGCCCGGCAGCAGGGCTGAACATCACGAGCACGGCTCAGCCAGCAATCCTGAGGCTGCTAATGAACTAGAAATAATTAGGCAGTGGTGGAGGCGGGGGTAGGTGCACAGGCACAGCCCCGTGGATCCATCCTGCCACTCAGGAACCCCAAACCTTCTGCTAATGCCGCTGCTGGGCTCGGCTGGCTCTAGGTCCTGACAAACGGGCCCCCTCCGGCGGGAGGGACCCCGGCCGGCGACAAAGCCCCCCGCCCCGCTGCCAGGGTCTGCCTGGCCCCCCCGACCCCGTGATCTCCGGGTAGCAACCCCCAAGAGGGGACGGGACGGCCCCGCCACGGCCTTCCAAGGCCCAGCCGGGGCCGGTTCCGGGGCTGGGAGTAGTGCCGGAGGTGGGCGGCCTGTGCCTCGCACGGTGGTCCGGGAATCTCCGCTGCCCCTCGCAGCTCCGAGACTCCCGAGGACAGAGCCGGGGCAGCCCCGTCCCGGTGTCCCCCGGTGTCCCTGCCGGGGGCGGAACCATCCCGGGTCCGGGGGAGAAGGGAAGCGGCAGTTGGACGGGACCACGCGGTGTCGGGGGGGGGGCGCACTCCGGGGAGGGGGGGCTGGACCGAACCACTCCGAGCGCCCCGCGGGGGGGCCCGGCCGGGGTTACGGCTGGGCTGAACCACTGCGAGCCGGCGGGACACGGGGACACGCCGGGGCGCGGCCGGGTAGGGGACAGACAGGGGCGGCCCCCGGTGCTCGCGGCGCGTTACCTCCTGACGCGTCCGGTCCCCCCACGCCGGCCTCCGGACTGATGGCACCGGCACCCGCCGCGGCCGAGCCCTCCGCTTCCTCAGGCACCTCCAGTTCCATGGCGGCCGCGGGCAGGCGCAGCCCCGGGGCAAGACAGGCCCCGGACAGGCCAGCGCCCGCCGCCGCGCTCCTCCCGGGTACCGGCCGCGGCGCGGGGGACCCTGGGAGCGCCGCGGACCATAGAACGCGGGTGGCGCCGCGGCCAGACACGCCCCGAACAGTGCCGGAAGCACAGCGGGGCTTTTCCGCCGGAGTTAATTGCGATGCGGCGGAGGGCTGTCGCGATAACCCGCGGGCTGTGGCATTCGACGGGGGCGGGGAGGGACAAGGGAGGCCGCAGCAACTCCCGCCGATCCCTCACGGTGCGGCGGCCGCGACACCTCCGGTGGAGGGGGAAACACCACAGGGTCGGGGGGCGGGGCCTACGGTCACCATGGCACCGGGGCAGGGCTCCGCGGGGGGCGGGGCCTGCCTGCCAGTTGCTATGGCAGTGGAGGCGGGGCTCTCGGGGGCGGGGAGTCTGCCCGTCGCCATGGCACCGGGGGCGTGACCAGTGGGTGCCCATGATAGCGGGGGCGTGGCTCCGGCAGGGGGTGGGGCTTCGTTGGGGGCGTGGCTCCGCAGGGGGGTGGGGCTTCGTGGGGGGCGTGGCCGGCCCTGCACGGCGGAGCCCGCGCGTGTCGTCCCGTCGCTGCTCGGTTCCCGCCGCGCTGCCCCGGGCGGACCGGGGCCCTCCAGGAGCCTTCCCGGTGCCGGGCGCTGCCTACCCTCCCTGCGCCCCCCTACCCCCCACTCCAGTCGTCTCCGACACCTCCCCGTAGCAGCAGAACCCGCCGGGCTCGACCGGGCCTGCCGTGTACCGGGACCCGGACACGCTCTCTCCTCCCTGCGCGGCCCCCGCGCCGTTCAGCGCCGCCGATTCCCAGCCCAAGCCGGGACCCGGCTCCTCCCGGCCCCGCGGCACCATCTAGTGGCGCCGCCCGGCCCGGGTCAGCCCCGGGGCGCGGGTCAGCCCGGGCCGGCCCCGCCGGTTCTCGGGGCCCCGGGGCCACGCGTGTCCCGGATGGGTAGCCGCTGCTGGGAGGCAACGCTGGGGCCACCGGCGCTAATGAGGCTGCTCGGCGGCGCCGGCCCCCGCCAGAGGGGCTCCCGACTGTGGCTGGTCCTGCCGAGCGGCGGGAGCCGCTGCAGCCTCCCAGCGGGGCTCGGGCGAGAGCAGCCGGTGCCGAGGAGCGAGCGGAGGGGCAGGCGGCGGCATGGCTCCGGCTCCGGGCTGGCGGCTGCGGGCCGGGGGCTTCCGCAGAAACTGGTCCCCCCACGCCGCTTCGGCGCTGGGCTGGGAGCGGTACCGGCCCCGGCGGGAGGCGGAGAAGCGCGGCGTGGACCTGGTCGCTGTCACCGCCGGAAAGCGGCCCCGAGGGACGAGGGATGACGGGGGCCTGGTCCTCAGGTGCGGACAGGGGCAAGGGAACGGGAGGAGAGGGGGCAGCAAACATCACCAGATTCCCCCATACCTCTCAGGACAGGGATCCCAAGGCTGGCCCCCGTGTCTGTGCCCTCTTGGGACAATGGGTAACGCTGGGAGGGCTTGGGAGGCTGGGGCAGAGTCCCACCGCTTTCTTGGACAGGACAAGTATTGGGGCAGGGGAACCCCTGTCTGCAGGGTCCGCCACCGCCAGCATCCTGTGAGCCTGTCCCGGTGCAGCGCTGGGACGGCGATGAGTGCAGGTGGCTGAGGCACCGTCATGGTGGAGGACAGCAGGGACAGCCCTCCGGGAGACCTGCTGTGCCCGGGAAACTGCCCCCGGAACCCCCTTCCTGCTCCTTCCCCGCTGCAGGCAGAGTCTGGGCCACAAAGGGTTACGCAAGGCACCCTGGAGTGACACCACTGCCACCAGCCCGGGAGCTCAGCTCCTTCCTGGTCGGATCCCAGGCTCGGTGAGTGCCTAATTCTGTCCCCCGGGATCTGTCAGCCCTGCTTTCTGGCTTTCAGCCGTGCTTTCACCTGGGGAACTGGCCATGCTTTGTCTCTCCCTGGCTGGCTCCAGGACCTAGAGACCCTGCTGGAGCTCTGCCCCGTAGCAGGGAGATATCCCCGAGGATCGGAGCTCCATGCCCCGGGGCTGGAGGACGTGCCTCTCTGCTGCCGGTTTACACTCGGTCCGGGGCAGCCCTTCCCAGACCTTTTCCCAGAGCAGGGGGTCGGGAGCAGTCCATCGCTCTTTGGGTGGGGTTGGGATAGAGCAGCCTCTGGGGGTGTCCGGGACCTCAGTGCCAGGACCAGACAAGGGACCAGTGGTTTTGCAGCACTGGCTGAGAGCAGGTACCTCGCTGATCCCAGGAAGGCTCTGAGGTCCTCAGGATGAGGAGCCTTATCAGGGGAGAGGGGTTGGGAAGCATTATGGGTGGTGGGGTCGGCTGTATGCACGGCTAGGGTGGACTGTGTGTGTCACTTTCCAATAAAGGATCCCCCAGCTCGTTGCTGTCCCCATGGCGGGCGTTGTTGGTGGCGTCACCCGGGGCCAGGCACAGCCCTGAACTGGGGACCTGGCCGTGGGTTGAGCTGCCCCAGCACAGCTTGGCTTTGTTTGGCTTCAAACCCCTGGGAAGTGCTGGCACGGTAGATGTGTGGGGCGGTGTGGGGCTCCCAGTGCTGCCGGTGTCCGGTGCTGGGTGTGTCGGGCTGGGCCGTGGTCAGCTCTGCCCAGATACTGCCTCTCCCTGCAGGGCCATTCCAGGTGCGGGCTGGTTTCTGTCGGAAACCGGCTCAGCCGGCTCCTCCTGCTGCCAGCCTCGGCCTTTGGCTGGTGCAGGCCCTGCGCCAGGTCTTGAGGGGAGACTGGGGACAGGGACAGGGCTTGGTGGCACCGTAAGCACACTGCCTGTGCCGCTGGAGCTGCTGCCATACCCATGCTGCTCCAGCCACTGCCTGGAGAGAGCAACGGGCAGCAGTGGAACGCCAGTTTGTGGCCAGTTTTTGGCAACACGGCGGTGGGACAGTAGTGGGAGCCAGCTGGGGACAGTGAGGGGCTGTATTGGGTGGCATCAGGGGTGGCTCTGGCACAGCAGATGTCACCACCCTAAGGAGGGGGATGATCTGCCTGCTCCAGGTTGGTCTCTCTTGGACCTATAGCTCACACTGTGTCACCTGTAGGTGTCCAGGGGCCACAAACAACACTGGTGACACAGCTGAAACCACCCCAATGCCACTCTGGGAGTTCCTGTTCATTATGAACTTTTCCAGTGCCAAGATAGTGGGTGCTGCCACACTGGGGTTCTGCCCAGCCCCAGCTACCCCCTGGTCCCACGTGTCCCTGGGTGGCAGGGAGGCACTCAGGCTGGTTTCGGCAGCTGGTGACGCAGAGGGGACTCTGCCCTCCACACCCGGGGCTGCAGCCTGCCTGTCGGGTGAATGATTACCCCAGGCCTCCCCCAGCCCTCCCTGGGGCTGCAGTGAGCTGGGTCTCTTTTCAGGGGCTCAGGCTGGTCTCATTTGCCTCAGCACCGCTCCAGCCGGGGCTGCCCATGGGATGTCCTTGTGCCAGGGCTTGCTGCCCACTGCCAGATCCCTGATGTGGCATCACCCCGGCATTGCCCATGAGGTGTCTCTGTCCCACCAAAGCTGCCCTGTGGCCAATTCCCAAAAGGCCTGTGGATATTTGAGCTCCCTGTGGCACCAGTGTGGGCATCCCTGGCAGGGGTGAGGGTGGCTGAGCTGTGTCGGGGGCTGTTAGGAATGAGCACAGGCCCCACACAGCCACTCCAGAGCCCTCAGATACCACGGCCGTGTGGTGCCATGGGAACTGAGGGTGTGCAGTTTGGAGAAGGGTGCTCAGGGGACCTCATTGCTCTCCCAAAATGAGATTATAGTGAGGTGGAGATCAGCCTCTTCTGCCAAGTGTCAGGACCAGAGGAAATGGCCTCAAACTGTACCAACAGAGGTTCAGATTAGATACTAGATAATTTTTTTTCACTGAAAGAGTGGTCAGGCAAAGGAATAAGTTGTGCAGAGAGGTGCTGGAGTCATCATCCCTGGAAGCATTCAAGAGGCATCTGGATGAGGCACTTGGGAACATGGTTTAGGGGTGATTATGGTGGTGTTGGAGTGGCAGTTGGTTTTGATGATCTTGAAGGCCTCTTCCTGCCTTGATGATTTTGTGATTCTGTGAAGCCCTGATCAAAGTGGCCTATCCCAGCCCTCGGGAACTGGTGGCAGGCTCTGGTCCTGCTGTCTTCCACCATCTTGGGAACCCATGTGTTTCTGGGTTCATGCTGACATTACCTACAGGGAACCAGGAGCTGGTGGAGATCCCTGTGCCCATCCCAGAAGTTTCAGCCTCAGAGGGATGTTATTCTGTCAGTCAGGCTTGTCTGCCTTGGGTGGAAAACATTGGATTTGGGAAAAACCAGAGAAACCAAATAGTGAAACTGGGGCAGTGGTGCTACCAAACCAGCTGGCTGAGCTGCCAAAGCCCAAAGTGGGTGGACAAGCACTAAACACCATCCAGAGGAGCACCCCAAGGCCTGCCAGCTTCAGGAGGACAGAGGGGTGTCAGACCACGAGGATGGCATGGACAGTGGATCCCAGCCATGGAGATGAGTCCTGTGCTTGCCCTGTGTAAAACCTCCCCTTCCATGGACCCATGTGTGAGGGGATGGAGATGTATCCTCATGGGGTGATTTCATGGTGCACAGAGGCTGCTCTGAGTTCAGAGCAATGCAGGGTTAACTGGGGTGTGCCACAGCTGCCAGTCCCAGTGTCCTGGCCCCGTGGGGCTCTGTCCCCTGCAGCCTCACAGTCCCTGGTGCTTATGGCTCAGTTTTGCTGCTGCTCTTTGTTGCAGCCTGATGTTGGATTGAGGAAGGGGCCAGCGGCTGCGAAGAGGAGCCGGAGCCGGTCAGAGCCCCCCAGCCGTCCGGCTGCCACCGTGACTGTCCCCAGCTTGTGCTGGTGGGTGCCCACCATGGAGGAGATGGTGATCTGGGAGCAGTACACGGTGACACTGAGCAAGGTGAGTGTCTCCTGGGGTGGCCCCTCCGTGGGAGGGGACGGGGTCTGTGGGGTCAACTCTGCCTGACCCCCTTGTGCCCACACCCACCAGGACCCTCACCGGGGCTTTGGATTTGCTGTCTCGGGAGGCCGTGACCGTCCCAACAGGACAACCGGGGACACAGCGGTGTTTGTTTCAGATGTGGTGTCTGGGGGACCAGCAATGGGTCAGCTCCAGTGAGTGCACGGGGACATGGGGCCAGAAGGGGTGCTCTCTGCCAGCAGGGATGGGAAGGATGGAGACTCACTCCTGCTGGGACAGGGCCAGCAGCACTGTTGCCCTGCCTGGCTGGAATAGGATCGCTTGGGGTGCACTCACCACCCCACCAG